ACTTCAGTTTTCTGATACTGTTCAAAATAATCCCTTAGATGATGTTCTTCAGTGTCGTCTTTAACGCCACCAACAAAAATCTTTCTCACAGTTAAGTGGGCACCACGTCTTTGAGAATTTTCTCTTGGGACAGCCTTCTTTGGTTCCACAACTCTTCCATCCACGTTGTGTGGCCTTGTATTCATGGCTGCATCCATCTCGTCCACAGTGGCATTCGTGACAAAGCCAAAGCCTCTGGAGCACTTGGTGTTTGGATCTCTCATTACCACACAGTCCGTAAGCATTCCCCATTGCTCAAAATGGCTTCTCAGACTCTCATTGGTTGTTTCAAATCTCAAACCTCTGATGAAGAGCTTCTGCAGCTGTTCAGGCTTTTTAGGAGACTCTGACTTAGACATGACAGTGGTGGGAGGGGAGACTCAGTGGGCAGAAAGGCGTAATGAATGTATCTCCATGCCACAGAATTTTAAATTTCATGTCACAGAATTTTAAATTTTAATATCTTTATAAGATATATTGAGTACAGGAATAAAAATTTTTTAAATTGTTAAATACATGCAACAAGCTACCAAGTTATACTTTTAAAAAAGTGTTTGTACAGGCTATCTTTGGGCTTAAAACTTAGTCTGTTCTATGATGGCGACGTTTGCTAATATGTTACTGTCTTGTTAGGGTTGGTGTTATCCCAGTTTCTTTCTCAGTCACTTCCCTCTAAGATGTAATGCTTGCCAAGTTCCATAATTGAGTAAAAAATTGGAACCTGGCGGTAGTTCTGATTCTGAATTAAGGAATCAGTGGGCCACCCTGTCCATTTCCTTGCCTGGTAATGGACAATGTGAACAGCTTCATTTTGGGGGGCACAACTTTTAATGCCTTTTTCTGGTCACAGCCTTGTTAGCCCTGTGCTTATTTAAAAAGAGTGGTTGGTACATGAACTCTTGGTAAGTGTGTTAGGGCTGATAATATAAAAAGTAGGAATGCTAGTGAGTAAAATCCTGATAAGCTTATGCTCAGTCAACGATATTGGATGCAGAAACCACCAGTCACTTGCCTTGGGAAACAGGAGCCAGCCAGAACTTAGAACTAGCAAATACGACAGCTACCCAGAATAAGCCTTTGAAAGTTGTGGTTATAGGTTGATGTGACCAAAAATACTTTCTGACCTCTGTTACCAGCTTATTTCTTCCTTAGCTAGGAGACTTGAAACTTTCTCGGGAGGCCCACTGAGCAAAGTGAGGACCTCCCAGAAGTGCCAGTCATACCTTTGCTCCATAACCTTCTGGGCAACCTAGGGGTAGTGGCAAAGATTTGTTCTGTCACTGAGTACGGTCTCTCTCTTGCCCTGTCTTGCTCATCAGAAATCTATTAGTTTTTTGGTCAGGGTTGAGGTGGAAGCACAGAAAGTTTTTTTTTGGTCAGGGTTGAGGTGGAGGCACAGAAAGTTAACCTGTGAGATTCAGAGAAGGGATTCTAATCTGAGTACCACTCCCCCAACCTCAACCCAATAATTAAAACTTTTTTTTCTTTAAAGTTTTTATTTATTTAAGTAATCTCTACACCCAACGTGAGGCTCGAATCCATGACCCCAAGATCAAGAGTCGCATGCTCCTCTGACTGAGCCAGCCAGCCACCTCTAAGCTTTTTTTCTTCACAGTTTATCATTGTCCTGTAGAGTCTGAGTTCAAATATCTGAAGTATTACCGGGTTTACTGTAATGAATCTTAGGAGATTTATAAAAAGACAGACCCCTTCCTTATGGTAAGGTCAGGGAGATAGACATAACCTACCATCAGATAGCCTGCACTTACATTGCTGGGTGTTTGAATAGTAGGATGAGATAATGTGACAATGTTTCAAATAAAGTTCTATGACACTAAACAGTGTGTTTTCCAGCCTTGAGTTACATAATAAATATTTGGAGAAATATTGTAACATTGATATTTGAGATGGGATACAGTATTATGAGATAGTGGTTACTTGGAAGTGTGTTTTTCTGACCTATTTAAGTCACTTTTGAATGACAACCCTTGCATAGGGATGGCGAGAGCATAGTAAAGTACAAAATGGAGTCTCTGGAGATTACAGTGCAATAATTCTACTCTGCCTTCACAACTGTAATTCTTTTTACTAATCAGCTATGTGGATGATTCTGAGGTACTGCTTGAGTGTAGAACTTCTTTATTGGGGGCGGGAGTCAAGGCAGGAATCTTTAATGAGTGGAGCAGTTGGGTGAAGGAAGAATAGATGTAAGGTCTTGAAGGCTTATCACATTGAAGAATAGACAGCAAAAATGAAAAATAGAGATCTTTTAGGACTCGACTAAATACAAGAATCTGAAGGAGAATAATTAATAATAGGGTTTTTGCCCACAGACATGGTAATTGTATTGACAGAACAGTAAATAGCATGTTGAGAAAAGGTATTTATTACAGTATTTTTAAGGCTGTTATGACAAAAAAATATCAGATATTTCTCATAGTTGTTTGGAAAAAATTGAAAGGTTTCATAATGGGTGTTTTTAAGTGATAATGGGAGGAAAATGCAAGGTGGTTAAAGTAAGAACAGCAGTAGTTGAATTGTTTATTTACACTTACTTGATTTGTATAATGTAACCTCTCAAACACTTCGAGATTGCAAAGTTGGATGGTTTCTATTTCCTTGACTTCTAATAATTGTTAAGACCTTTATTATTTTTTTAAGAGAGTGAATGGGAGAGGGAGAGAGCACGTGAGCAAGCGAGCGGGGCAGGAGCGGGGGAGAGGGAGAGAGAGAATCCCAAGCAAGCTCCACGCTCAGCCTGGAGCCCAACACGGGGGTCCATCTGAAGACCCTGAGATCATGATCTAAGCTGAAATCAACAGTCGGGTGCTTAACCTACTGAGTCACCCAGGCGCCCCCTTGTTAAGTAAGACCTTTAAGGAGAACAGTGGTTGCCATCTAGAAAGCTGTGAGCTAATGTATTTCAGAAAGCTTAATGGAAATCATATATTAACCCAGATTAAGGATGAAGAAATTAAAATGCCTTTGTCTTTGGCTGGAATCCTATCAACTTAGTGCTTAAATACTAGGACTTCCTTTTTGATTAAATGCTTTGCTAGCAGTTATACTTTTTGATTTTTTTTTACAGAAATGAAAATGAATTTACTTAATTCATGCAGGTTAGAAACACGGAGCTTGTGAAAGGAAAACAAAAAGAGGGAGTCTTTGGTTAAAAGGTTGATAGAGAATATTATTATTATATGACTATTTACTAGGAGTTGTTGCCTTTGGCTTTACTAAATAGAAACACAGTTTGTATTTTAGTGCCCAGTTCTCAGTTGACTGAATATGTGAAAACACCACAGTAGCTGTTGCTTATGCCAGAAAGTCACACTTTTTCATTGATTTTGTTGCTTTTAAGTTTTTTTGATCCTGTTTTGCTTTGATGGTTAATAACTTGAGGAAGTATTAAAAACATTTCTGGACATGGGGGGCCTGGCTAGCTCAGTTCAGTGGAGCATGCGATTCTTGATCTCAGGGTCATGAGTTCAAGCCCCACGTTGGGCATGGAACCTACTTTAAAAAAAACAAAACAAAACCAAAACACATTTCTGCAGCCTTCCTACACCTCCTTCTCTCTGGGCTTGTATTTTGGCCATGACGTTGTGGCTCCGGCACTTCTACAGTTAACTGAGGAAAAGTGCGAGGGTGCCCAGTATCTCCTGAAGATGCAAAACGTGGGTGGCTGTGCCCTGTGACAGGACGTGTAGAAGCTATCCCTAGATGGGGGGGATGAAAGCTTGGACACTATGGGAGATGCTGTGATCCTGGAGAAGAACCTGGACGAGGCCCCTTTTATATGTGCATGCCTTGGGTTTTGCCCATGCAGACCCTAATCTCTGTGACTTCTTGGAGAGCCATTTCCTAGATGAGCAGGTGAAACTCACCTAGAAGATGGGCAACGACCTGACTAATCTCGGCAGGTTGGCTGGCCCCTATGCTGGGCTGGGCAAGTATCTGTTCCAGAGGCTCACTCTCAAGCATGACTAAGCCTCTAGAGCCCAGTGGCCTCTGAGGGGCCCTTTGGCATCTTCCTGGTGTCAGGGCTTCTGCCTGAGCCTCCCCCTACAGCCACTAGGCAGCTTTTTAACCACCCTGGAGCCCTCTCCCGAGCCATAGACCAAATGGAAACAATAAAGCTTTTTGCAGCCAAAAAAATAAGCAGGTTAATAGGATAGAAGGAATGGGGAGCAAAAAATACATCATTGTATAGGTCAGGAAAGGCCTCCCTCATCCCTGGTGAAGAAACATTTCAGATACCGATGGAAATGAGTGAGCCATGAGAACATAAAGACGTCTTAAGCAAATTACAGGCAGAGAGAATAGGAAATGTAGAAATTCAAAGGTGGGAGAAGCCCTGGGGTGATCAAGGACTAGGAAGGAGGGCAGTGTGACTGGAATGAAGTGACAGAGGCAGTGAGGTGGGGCATGGAGTCCCAAGAGCGGGAGAGGAAACAGATTTTGTAGCCCATGGCAAAGGACTGGATGTTGTGTGAGTTGGGAATCTCTCGGAACATTTTGCACAGAGGAGTTAAATGATCTGCCTTAAATTTTAAAAGAATCTTGTGAGAATCTTTGGCTACTGTTTTGAGAATAGACTATAAGAGGACAAGAGTGGAACTAGGGAGGCAAGTCAGTAGGCTGGTGGCTTGTGAGATGGCAGTTGAGCTCAGTAGTGAGGAGGGGTTGGATTTGGGATGTATTTCAAGGGGGGGACTGACAAGATTTGCTGATGAGGGAAGCTATGGGGTGAGAAAGAGGGATCAAGGTTGACTTCCACAGTTTTTGCCCTAGGTACCTGGAAAGCTTGAATTTTCATTTACCAAGATGGGAAGGCTGGGAAGAGCAGGGTGGAGGCGAGGGCGTTGCAAGACTTGGATTTTTAGCTATGTTAAGGTGGATCTAAGAAGACATCCGGGGGAGAAAGGTTACTAAATGTTACTTCCTCATTGCAGGTGTGAAGTTGAGTGCTTCAGATCTGGTCACTATGGTACGAGAACGAAAATGCATATTGTGCCACATTGTGTACAGCTCAAAAAAGGTAATACATAGAAGAGGGAGAATCTGAGGCTTTATGACTGCTCTTTTTGGAATTTGTAGATGGGTAAAAGCTTTTAACAGTGTCTTATTTATGCTTCTTTCCTATATCATAGTCTCATTCCACTGGTTTCTTTCTCTTTAGTGCCTCATAAAGCCAATATAACTATATTATTAAATCTACCCAAAATTTGAGGATACTCAGAAGTCGACAGTAAATAGTTACTAATTTAGTCAGTAACCAGTTACAGAGAAAAGACCTTAAAATTCAGTTTATTTGAGGTTATACTACTTTCTGATGAGCTAAGGATACAGCATTAGTTTTCCATACCTGCGTTCTGTTTCTGCCTTGTGAAAAGTGCTGCAGAGCAGAAACGGCATTAACAGTACCCTAGATGTCCACAAGGGGGGGATGTTGCTCAGAGAAAAATATTTTTAAGAACCAAAAGAATTTTACCTGTGTCTTAGGGAAATTGGCTGCAATTTGACTTACTTTTTTGCTTTTTCTTGCCTGTATCCTTTGCTTTCAAAGTAGTGCTGCTATCTTAACTACTGAGAAATTTTTTTCTAAGCTTTTAAGATGCTCTGGATTGTCAATGAAAATTCGGAGAACTGGGAAGATTATCTTATCATGAGCTAGGTTAGCCAGGGAGGTTTGAGTGAACCTGGAAAGATGTTTGGGAGTAAGATGGTTTCAGAGAAATAGAAGAGAGATATTTTAGGTGGGATAACAACATGTACAGAGATACAGAGGTATGGAGTCTAAGAGTTCTAGGAGTCCATGAGAAGGCTTACCTGATTAAGACAGTTTTGTAATGGGGATAGTGGGACTGCAATATAATTTGTAATTTAAATGCAAACAGTTATAAAATGTGTTGAATGCCAGACTGAGGGGTTCAATTATAATTCATCCAGTAGGCTGGGGTGAATTTTTTTTTTTCCCCTATTTAGGATTTCTGTTAGTGATGGAAAAATCAGTTGAGATTTTAAATTCATGTTTAATAATATAGCTGCTGCCTTTTACAACAGTAAAAGAGCCCTTCTAGTTTTAAAAATTTTTGACCAGGGTTTATGCAAATTTATAATGAATAAAAATTCCTTATGGCTCCTTTCAGATTGGGGGGAGATGGGAAATTGAGAAGGTGTGAGAGGGATAGGCAGACACTCAGAGGTGTGGTGTCAGACTTCTCATGGAGTAGCAGCCCTGCCTTGTGATAGCTCATAATTTTGCCGTTTTAAGTCTTTTGGCATTTCTTCCACTCTGGTTTTCTTGTTTGTTTATTTAATAAGAATCACCTAGGATCCTTGTTTTTTTTTCTTTTTAAAAATTTTTTAACGATTTTATTTATTTGGGAGAGAGAGTGTGAGCAAGAGAGAGAGCACCTGAGCAGGGGCAGAGGGAGAGGGAGAAGCAGACTCCCTGCTGAGCAAGGAGCCTTATGGTGGGCTCGATCCCAGGACCCCAGGATCATGAACTGAACCAATGGCAGATGCTTAACTGACTGAGCCACCAAGGCGCCCCTCTACTCTGGTTTAAACATGTTTTCATCTCTTCATATTTTTCCGTGGATCATAATGAAAAATCAAGAGCTGGGATTACTCACTCCTGCCTTAGGAAATGCCAGTTACAGGTTTTTAAGCAAGGGAATGACATGATTTGAGTGTTAAGGTTAATGTGGTCTAAGGAATTAGTGGAATGGGTTAATTGAAAGAGATAACTCTGATAGTGAGTTTTATTTATTTATAAATGTATTTTTTTTTAAAGATTTTTATTTATTTATTTGACACAGAAAGAGAGAGAGCACAAGCAGGGGGAGGGGCAGAGGAAGAGGGAGAAGCAGGCTCCCCGCCAAGCGGGGAGCCTGACTTGGGGCTCCATCCCAGGACCCTGGGATCATGACCTGAGCTGAAGGCAGATGCTTAACGACTGAGCCACCCAGGCGTCCCTGATACTGAGTTTTAAATCGATTATCAACAACTTACGTTGAAGCAGTGCTTTCCTGTAGTCTCCCAAACTAGTGTAACCCTGATTTCTCCAAATATACTGTGGAGAAGAAAAAGACTCTGTAAGTGTGGGAAAAAGCTGTGTACTACATCCCTGAGCATTCTGATGTTCACTAATTTATTTTTTTATTTTAATTTTATTTTTTAAAAGATTTTTCATTTATTTGAGAGAGAGAGAGGGAGCACGAACCGGGGCGGGGGCTGGGTGGGGACAGGGAGAAGCAGGCTCCCTGCTGGATGTTCATTAATTTATTAAAAGACTGAGAAACCCTGGAGTTAAAAACACTAAAAAAAAAAATTCTGTTGTATTACTCACTGTTTTATAAATTTGTTCAACTGCCAAATCTTTTCAAAAAAAAATTTCCTTTCTCCCCCTTCTTTAAAAAACATAATACTGATTAATATTATAAGAACTAAAAAGAAGCTTGGTAACTGAGCACTTGGGGTTATTTAATCCTACTACCCATGGATCTTTCCTAGTTATTTTGAAAGCTCAGGTTGCCACGCTATTTGCATTTATTCCTTGGAGCAGGGTAGGAGAGAATTTTGCACGTAAATTTAGGAAAAGATTTGTGAAGGGTTTTAGACATCTAGTCGGAAGTCACCCTAAAACAAATTTTGAATGATAACATTTTTATAACTGAAATAGGATACAGAATTGGTTTTTCTATCTGAGAATAACCTATTTCAGTGAATGCTGTTTTGATCAGGAATGGTTTCATTGCAAGAAAAAGAACCAACTTAAATTTAGCTCAAAGAAAGGGGATTTGGCACATGTAAATCTAATATAAGGAAAGATAGAACAAAAGGATACATAGGGATTTGAGCAGGTGTTTATATTGTTCATGGATTTTTTTCATTCTTGATTATGTCACTAATCTGATTCAGCTTTCAGCTCTGTAAGTGTTCATTCTAGTTAGTGGCCAGTCAATTGTAGGTGGGGCGGGTGGGGGGGGGGGAAGGTCACATGTAAAGCTATCCCCTCCAAGAGAAGCATTTATAGAGACAGGAAGGAAGTGATGGTCATCTTCAGTAAAATTGTCATTTAAAGGAAGTGTTTGGAATCACAAAGCTGTTTGTCACACTGTAGTAGATAAAGTAAGAATAGGTTATTGGGTTGTTGTATTCTTTTTGACAAATGAATTGTATATGAAGAAAAATCTCAATGCACTAGATGGTTACAGTGTGACGTGGTATATAAAACCTTGGCTTTGGTGTCAGATATGTCAGGGTCTGAGTCCTAGTTTGACCACTTGATTATCTATGACTCTGAGAGGGCAAGACTGAATATTTTCACACTTATCCCTTCAATGCCTAGCTCTGTATTTGGCACTGAACAAGCAATGATAAATACTTGGTGAATAAATGAGTTAGCTTCTGTGTATCCTTGTATCCTTATGAAGTTAGTAATATTCCCTCAGCAGTGTTTTGTAGTTCATATGAGGAAATGTTTGAGGCACTTAAACACAGGGCACAGTTAATAGTAATACTCAACAATTATAGTAGCCCTTTATTTTATTTTATTTTTTTAAGCTTTTTTTTTTTTTTTTGACAGAAGAGAGGGAGAGAGAGAGAGCATAAGCAGGGGGAGCAGCAGGCAGAGGGAGAGGGAGAAGCAGGCTCCCCGCGGAGCAGGGAGCCCGATGCGGGGCTCGATCCCAGGACCCTGAGATCACGACCTGAGCCGAAGGCAGATGCTTAATGACTGAGCCACCCAAGCGCCCCAGTGGCCCTTTATTTTATTTTATACGTGAACAGCCATTCTCTAATTATGGCGTGCTACCTATATATATGCCTGCGTGACAAAGGGGTGGACATTTACAGCTTTTTGAGATTTGCGTGTATGTGCGCATGTTTTTAAGTGGCAACTCTTCCCACAGATTTCATTTTCCTCCCACTAAGGATGGGTTGGAGGTACACGAGGCCCTAGTAGATTTTCAAACATTTCATTAGAACCAAACAAATCAATTGGGCGAGAGTGGGCAGTGACGATGAAGGCATGATTGAGCTGTGTTCGAAACAGTTTTAAAAAACTTCTGATCAACCACAGGGAACTTCTGTTATATCCATAACTTCTACCTAGAATTAATATATCTATCATTCAGCAAATGTGGACAACCGTATGCCAAGCCCTGGCCAAGACTTGAGTAAGAATTTTAGCTTATTTTTGAGAAACTCTCAGTTGAGTGGGGAAAGTATGGAGAAAAGTAACCAAATAGTTGAGAAGTTAAGTGATTTCAGATTTTAAAAAAACCCCAAAAAAACAAGTAAATTCTTTGAGATAGAATTTAACCCACATAGTTTATTCGTAAATCTTTTGCCCCCTAAAGACAATATACGTTCTAATATTTTTGGAAAGCCATTTAAATAGGTTTTTCTTAAAAAGTCCTTTATTTAAGAATGAAATAATGTCAAAAACATAGCTAAAGAACTATGAGGAACTGATTTCAATATTGAATTGAGAAGGGTAACCAGGACAAACACTTAATGACACAAAGAACCTGAACCCCAACTGTTGATTGAATAAAAACGAGGAATTTCTTTTCCCAAAGCAATCTCCCTTAGTTTAATCTGCTTTCTTTAATTTTGAAGGAGATGGACGAACACATGCGGAGCATGTTGCATCACAGGGAACTTGAGAACCTGAAGGGCAGGTATGGGAACGGCTGTCTTCCATCAACTTGCGACTGTCGGGGGATCTCAGTGCTGAGGGTGCCTCTTAGCTTATTTTATAGTAATTCTTCATAAATGAATATGGTCCTATGACATAGAATGATCTTTTAGAATTATTAACAACTACAGTAGTGTTTTGGCATTCCAAAAGGATAAATCTTTGTGCATCTCCAATATGGAGAATTCACTGCAGCTCTAGGTAGTAGATTGCAACAGAAGTGGGTGAGGATGAGCTAGTTCTCTCATTAGGATGTTTTCTCATTCCTATACACCAGCCTTGAAACTAAGACATTTCTCTGTTATTGCTTCAGCTGTGTTACAAAAATTATTACATGGCAGAAACCTGTAGTGTTACTGAAAAAGTCTGAGAAGTCCAAAGTCTGCTGAATAGCACTGAGTCTCATTAGTGTAAATAAAATCAGGGCACAAACTTTGAATATCTAAGAATGCTATTTTGTGATGCAAAACTTGAGATATTTAAAGAAAGTAAGTCTAATAAGCACCTTTAAAAAATTAAATGTAGCGGATGTATATATTCCATGTCTCTCTTTTTTTTCCATCTATGGTTTTTTTTTTTTTGATGTTTTTGACTTGAATTTGAGGTTTGGAGATAGTATGGAACAGAGAAACATTGGAGAACTGAGAAATACTTATTGCATGAATAATAGATACAAGCTTTAATCATGAAGCCAGACTAAGTCATTTGACGTTATTTGTATTTAAAATAATACAGTTTTATATGGTGTGGGCAAATTAATATGTTAGTAAACTTTTAGCATCTGTTTAGCATATTTGTAGAATTTTTGCATGGTCTCAGTTTCTTACTATAGGAAGTTTAGGTCTTAGCAGCAACATAGAAGAGGCTTTCATTCAGATTTAGTGTGGAGAATCCTTGTCATAATACCTTGCATACATATGATCTTTAACTCATTATCATTGGAAACCTATGAAATAGAGTCAACCTTTGATTCTCTAAATGGGTGTTATCTTAATTACTTAATCCCATTTCCAGCAGACTTCCTGTTGGAATTCACCTTTTTCTGGGCTATCTACCTGCCATGTGACTATATTATAAATCAAATGAAACATATGAGGTCAGTAAATCTAGTCATTAGGAGAGAAGCCACTTTTATTCCAAGATTAATGCCTTATTTTCTTCATACATCCACTAAACAGCTATTTAAAATGTTAAAAAGAATTTTGATTACTTAAGATTCGTGTTCATAATGAATACAGAATTAATTGTAAAAAGTAAAAAAGGTAGAAGTCCTCTCAGTCCTACATGCCCCAGCCCTGCTCCCTTCCTACAGGAAAGCCAACAGTTCGGCCCATATCCTACCTAAACCTCGTTCTGTGGGTATACATAGACTTACGTTTCTATATAGACACATTTGGTCTTGTCTTATTCACGTAACTGAACTACATGCCGTATATTTATTGTTCAGTAACTTTTCTTCTACTCCACCCATCAACTTAACTGTGCCTTGGAGATTTTGTGTATCATTTTCAGTTATTTGGAGCATAGTCAAATGATCGAGGAGAAAGCATTTAGAAGCCTCCAAGCTGACAATAAAAGTGTCAACCTTAGCATCCAAAGTCATTTTATTTAGAGGGAAACACCTTAGTACTTACTTATTCATATTTTAGGTACAGAGCTAACAAGTTTTATATGGTCTCCTAGCCTGTAATAAATTATAAGGGCAAAGGCAAAGCAGGTAGCAAGGAAAAACAACTGACAAAACTATAAAAAACAAAATCTCAAAAATCATTTAATTACTTGGAGCATTTACTGTAGTGACAAACTGTGATCACTAGTTTGTACCATAGGGACAAGTAGTTATTGGTCATTATTTTTCCTTTCTCTCAGTTTGTGATTATTTTCTGTGGAATTCATGTTTAATTACTGGCTTTCTGATGTTAAAGCTTTCTGTTTCTCTTTATATTTGTATCAGTCTAATTTTTAGCTGTGATCTGGTTAAGAAATTTAAAGAGCATATTTTTTAGGTTTTGAATACAAATTTGAAAAGTAAGAAACTTTCTTTTTATTTTAATAATAATTTAAATTTATTTTTTTATTATGTTCAGTAAGAAACTTTCTTATTTGGTTCACAATTTTGGACATCTGGAACATTTCTCTCTTTTTTTCCCAGTATACTTACTCAGATGTGTGGCCTATTTCTACAGATAAATGCTATTAAAAGGGCTCAAACCTTTATTTATCAACCAGCTGTTGTGGTATAGTTAGAGCAAGCTTAATAAAGAAAAGCTTATGGGTAGAATATCTTAAGGCTTTGCCTTCCACACATGAGAGGAAATTGTGTGGTAACAGGATGAAGTTAATTTGGGCCCTCCTTTAAATGTCCCAAGGACAGTTTTTGCCTTTATTAGTCAAGAAGTGAAGTAGTACGTGTTCCCCAGCAGTTACTTTATATAGTTATACAAAGTAGTAAGTGTTTTAACTGGTTATTGATAGAGAATTGGAAAATAGCATCATTAAAATATTATTTAATTTGCCATTAAGTTTTTAAATACGTGGTTTCCCTAACATCATATGTAGAGGCATGAATGCCTCTTGTATGTAAAACGGGTAATATGCTTTCCTGCAGACACAGACACACTCGCATTTTTAAGAGATGTGGTTGTCCTAACCCATTCTTTCCCTAGATAAATGTGGATCCTCTCTTTTCTCCTTTTGACATTTCTTTTTTTTAAAAAATTTTTTTAATTTATTTATTTGAGAGAGTGAGAGACAGAGAGAAGGAGCAGGGGGAGGGGCAGAGGGCGAGGGAGAAGTGGACTCCCCGCTGAGCAGGGAGCCAGACGTGGGGCTCAATCCTGGGACTCCAGGATCATGACCTGAGCCAAAGGCAGACACTTAACCAGCTGAGCCACCCAGGCACCCCTCATTTTGAAGTTTCTTGTAAAGATTCTCTCTCTCTTTTTAAACTAGAATTCATTTAGGAAAAATTTTAGGAATTTTTGGTTTTGGAGAGTTTGTTTTTAGTGCTTTTTTGTTACACTTATTGCCTCTTCCCTTGTGGGCAGGATCTCTTTAGGTGTTTTTCTATTAAATATAACTTTAGAACTATGGTTAATACCCTTTCTTAGAAGGAACGCACATATGTTCTAAAAATCTGTGTTTGAGTATTTGTTACATATCCAACATATGCCTGTGCTTTGGAGATTGCAAAGTGTGTGGGTTTAGGATTATGGATGTTTATTTTTAACAGAGTTAAATACTGTCTACACTGCGTTCCTTAATATTTTAAACAGTGTGGTCTTCCAGTTATATCTGTAAAGAGAGGGTTCTTAATAGCTTGAACATGAGAAAAATTCTCAGCATTTTAGAAGTAAGGGTATAAGCAGAAGTTTTATTTAAGAATGCCTTTAGGAAAGATATCCTTGGTACTACAATATACAGTTTAGTGTTCTATAAGTTTTTATGTAGAAAAGTGGACTAAAACATTTTCCATAGTTTTAGAGAATTTAAAGCTCAAAAGATTTTCTAACCAGAAAATTCAGTTGATTTGAATTTTCTTTTTAACTTTATGTTTTAAATTAAAAAAATTTTTTTTAACTGAGAAGTATAGTTGACACACAGTGTTACATTAGTTTTAGGAGTAAGACATCATGATGCAACACCTCTGTGCTCACCACAAGTATGATTCGAATTTTTATGATAGTGTAAACTATGTATTCTAGGTTAGTTGCAGTTTTCAGACTCTTCCAATGCTGGACAGATTTATGCTTACATATTTTTAACTTCTTTTTGTGTTGCCATGAGAAAAGGCTTGATTTCTGCTACAAGTTAACACTTTGTATGAGCTACCGTAATTTTGAGAGAAGAGTAGGGGTATCCGTGGCAAACTTGAGGAATTTGAGGATTATACTTTAGTGGAAAATGCTCAGTGAAAGAATAGATTTAAGCTTTTGGGGAATTAGAATATTGATATACAGGATAATAAGGTAATGAGATTTTTCAGGGAACCTGGTCAGAACTCATTAAAATGAATCTTAATGTCAGAGACTGTATTGTGTCCAGAGCATTTGAGGTTACAGAGTTCAAAAAAGGTAAAAACTTAGGAATTTTCTCCATTTTTCTGAGGTGTTTTCCATAATTCTTACAAGGGGAAAAACTTTTAATTTACTGGGCATTATTTCTACTTTGTCATGCTAGACAACTGTAACCATATAGTTAGCATGATGCCCAGAATTTATTAGGTATTCCGCAAGGTTTTTTTTTTTTTTAATGAATGTTCAGGTGGCCTGTAATAGAAACCATCTTTTGGTAAATGAAGTGCTCAGTTTTGAGGTTCTCTTCTGGTTAATTGATATGAATTCCACCCTGTCTTTATAGATATATGTGAGGGGAGGATGGAACAGTGTTGTGCATGTGTGTATGTGTGTCTTTCTGCCTGTCTTATAAGACAGCATGTATTTTTGTGGGTTTTTTTTGTTTTGTTTTGTTTTTAAGATTGGCATAGAGAATTTTATCAGTGGAGAAAGCACCAACTTAAATCTACATAACTACCCTTACCATTGTTTTCCTTGCTTTTCCTGGTTACCTCCCATAACTGTTCCTCCTTCCTGCTTTTCTTTCTTTTGCCTTTAGCTGAAGATGGTATTTAAGTTGGTGGCTTAGGTTACCTAGGAGAGTCACTCATTTTTCCTGGGTGTCTCTCATGTATACCTGGGATATGTATGGTAATAAGCTTCTGTTTGTAAAATAAATAAATGAATGAATGGATAATAGAGATTGGCATAGGAAATGCAAAAATATCACTAGTGTAAACCCAAGACAAGTGATACAGAGTTAAGCCCGTTGAGCCATTATTGAATGGTTATTACTGTCCATTCATTACATTTGTGGCCATGGTGTTCAGATGTTTCTCATCAGTGGCTACATAGACAGCTGAACCAATCAAGAGATTTCAGGAAGCTAAAAAAGCTGTTAAATTATTCATCCACTACAGCTCTGGGTGTTGGTTCAAGGTTTTGGTTTCTTAAACTGGCCAAGTATGAGATTTACCATTGACTGCGTAAAGTAAAAGGAAAAAAACCTGCTCAGTTTCTTTCTGAACTAAGAACCTGGCTTCACTTCTCTCCAAACTTGCATTTTCTGAAACTTGAGAAAAACCATTTGCCTAGCACAGCTGTTAACTTCCTACAACTGAAATGCTTTCCATTCCCTTTTAAATAAGCCCTTCTGAAGCAGAATGTAGGTCACATGTATCATCCAGACCAAAAAAGTTTGCTGAGACTACTCCTATCCTTTGCCCTGGGGTCCGGAATCTTCACATTCCAGGCAGAGCTCCCGCTGTTCCGATTTAGCTACCACATTGGGATTGGCTAGGCTGCCTGCTCTTTTCTCCACCCCTTAACTCTCCCTGGGAGAAAGCTCTTGAGCCTGAGATAAAATGTTCGCGCTGTGACCAGGCTCCTGAGTGCCCCTGGCACCATGGGTGTGCTCTAGAGCAACTTTTGTTTGCTCTGAGCCCCCTGCCCTGCCTCCCCTTTCACCATGTTTCCTCTGGCAAGATTTTAAGTACAGCAATTCAAGAAGATTTCTCCTCGTAAACTATATTATTCTGAAGTGTACTGCCTCTTGATTGCTGGAAAAGAATCTTAAAATCATTTCAAAAATAACTTTAGAACAAACTTACTAAAAGTGATGAAAGGAGCATTGAAGTTGATTAGCACTAATCTTTCACTGTGCCAAAGTGTGCAGCGTTTTTCAGAGGAAACCGGAAGAGATCTGTTGAGTGTGCCATGCCAGTGGGGAGAATTGAATGTCCCTCATCTCCCTCTTTCCCTAGGGACAGTAGTCATGAGTGCCGAGTGTGCGGGGTCACAGAAGTGGGTCTTTCTGCATATGCAAAGCACATTTCTAGCCAGTTGCACAAAGATAATGTTGATGCCCAGGAAAGAGAAGACGATGGAAAGGGAGAAGAAGAGGAAGAAGATTATTTTGACAAGGAACTCGTTCAATTAATAAAACAAAGGAAAGAACAAAGTCGGTAAGTAATGATTTTGGTTTTTAAAAAGGCTGTCTAAAATAAAATATAATAGAGAATACATTTTCCATTTCTATACTTTTCAGCCTGTAGCTTTCAGACTTACCTTCATGGCAAAGGTTAGCTTGAGGTTGCTTTCTTACGCATAAAAGGTGATTGGAATCCTTCTTTGAGCTACTATACTATCTGTATTAAAAAAAAAAAACTCGGGAAAAAAAACTACTCAGTATTGTTTCTATAAAAATTAGCTGTAGGTGCTACATATCTGAAATTTTTCCTATGTTGATAACCGTGTTTAGAACTGTTTTTATTGGTTCCAATTTCTTTTGGACACCAGTGAATTGTTTTATTTGGTATCCAGAATTTCTAGTGGAAAGGTATTAGTGTAAAAGCTTCTTCTTTTTAAGTATTTCTTATTATATCCATTAGGTAAAAATACTTTGCCTGATATGAATTAACATGGTGCTTCTACCAAATTTGATTCGTCCTTTATTATTTAGTGCTTCAGTAAATATTTATTGAATAAATTTGTATTGTAAGTTTGACATTGTCAAGATCAATATAAGTTTTCCAGCTTATACTCTATAATTTGACACCTACATCTATAATTCAGGTATTAGGCTTTTGTATTTTTGCATTATTGAGTTGTGGTCTAAAGAGTTTAATTCATGAAGCAGAAATTTTCAGATTTCTCTTTCTTTTCGGGTAAGAGAACCGGTTAAGAGGTTGGGTAATTTTTTCAAGTCTTGGAGTATAAGGAGAAACATTACAATTCCAAAATAAAATTTTAAAGATTCTTCTTGAATACTAGTTATACTTGGTATGCATTTCATTTTTAATTAGAGGTTTAGCGTAAAAAGGAAGTAGTTTTCGCTGTACATGCTACAAGTGTTCTGAACAAGTCCTTGAAGGAGACTTTCTTGGTCTTAAAACATCAGTAGCAGCATGGTTCTTAAACCCGTTTAGTTGCTTAGTCCTTTAAATGACATTGTTACTACTATCATTATAGCTGTAGTTTACTCTTGTTTTAAGGGTGTTGAAGTCTCTAGGAGATTAACGTTTATCTTTTTCTTACACACTTGTGCCATTATTAGCTTATCTGTATAAATGATTAAATATTGAGTCAGAAGGTAAAAGAGCTTCTCAGTAAATTAGACATTCATATCATAGTTAATATTCTTCGAATATTCTGATATGCTACTTTGGTGATTTATATATAGTCTTATTTCTCTAGGAAGTTTTTTTCTTCTTTCCTTCATGAGGTTTTTAATTTACATGGCTTTTTCTGGGCTATGGATTTGGCTGCATACTGTTGTCCCCTCGATCTAGCTAATTCAGGGTGATCTAGGAATTCTACTTTGTGACAGATTTATTGCCCGATTCTCCCATTTCTGGATCCCATTAGTGTAGCCGAGTCAGATCCAAGAATCTCCTTGGATGTCAAAAGTTGTATACTGCCTAGAAACAAAAGATAAAAACAGTTTGGTCACTGGTGTTACAAAAATCCTGCACATGTTTGCAGTAACACTTGTCACTTGGGGACTTAGGATCTCCGGTTTAGAAGTGGTTGTAATTCATAATGTAAGTAGATGTTTGAACTTTCAGGTAAATTAACTTTCAGTTCCATCTTGTTGAAAAAGGAAGAAATTCCAAATTTCCAAAATCTTAGACACATTTGAAACTTTTTTAGAGTTTTTAGAAACTGAGTTTAAGTCAGATTTAGAGGAGGGAGCCCAACAGCAAAAACTTCGTTGGGGGATTTTTAGTCTCTCAAAGCCCCAGCGGTGAAGAGTGTAGATGCTAGAGTCAGACTGCCGAGGTTCACGTCTCTGCCGTACCACTTCTGGCTGTCTTACTCTAGGCAAGCGACTCAGCCTCTCCAGTCCTCAGTTTCCTCATCCAAAAGGTAGGAATAAGAAGAAGAATTGCTTCAGGGCTGTGAAAACTAAATGAGATAGTCTATATAAAGTGCTTCAAATGCCTGACAGTAGGTACTCAGTACGTTCTGGCTAGTGTGACTCCATGTTTCGAGCACCTGTGGCACGTTAAGCACAATGCCAGGCACACTACAGGCAGTTTGTAGAGGAAAGTGGTTTTGCACCTATTTCTGTGATGTTGACTTAGGTTTACCCACATGTCTGTGGGCTCCATGGCTAACACGAATAGTTGAAACAGCTGTAGCTTTATAAAAGCCTCCAGCTCGCGGAGCTCCTTGTAGCTTTATAAAAGCCTCCAGCTCGCGGAGCTCCTTGTAGCT